CTTCCCGTAGGGTAAGTTATAGTAATAGGCCAAAAATCAAAAATGAAAATTTTTGCATATCTTTACGTTTCAGAGGTTTCTGAACATTTTGGCATACCTCATAAAAAATGGATGTGTGTGTGTATGTGTGTGTGTGGATACAATTTTTGGTCGACGATTATCCGATTTGAATAGTTCAAAAAACATTTGATTCTTATTGATGAAGAGACGTGCTGATTAATAAAGACAGGCCTCGGATATATGGAGCAAAAAGTGCTAAAAATGACACTTTTTAAGAGAACGGATTAACCGTTTTGAATAATCCAAAAAACATTCGGTTCGTAATAGTGGCGAGAAGTTGTGATTAGATTTTGGGAGATCATGATGGTTTAGAGATATAATGCGAAACGATTTCTTTTGAGGAAAGAATTTTTTTTTATTTCAATTTTTTTGTATATTAATATATACATCTAGTTACAGTTCTACACATCACTTATATACTTCAAATAAATAATTTTAACTTTGCAATTCAGTTTATATAATACTTAAGAAATAATAGACAATGTTCTACATTTTAAAACCGATTGTTCGAGTTTTGTTTATTGTTCATTTACTTTTTATAAAAGAAGAATAATGAAAGTTACATCATTTATAATAATCTATTTAAAAACATTTAATATTCCTCAAATATTTCATTAAGGCATGGGAAGTTCCAGCAATTTGCTTTAAGGCACGATGTCATACACACCACTTGTTTGATTTAATGTCTGATATAGATAAATGATCAAGCAAATGAAAAAAGTTGCTGCAGTAGATACTGAATAAATATGTGCTTAAACAAAACTAAGTAAAATAAGTACCTCCTATTACTTTAATATTCCCTTAGATTCCTCAGAATGGTTTAGGATACTTATTCTTATAGTGTCGAAGGCTAATGTCTAATTAATAATCAGATTAAAATGATTTGACAAAATTGCCAAAAATACCTACCCAGTAAGCACCAAATACAAATATTAGTCAATTTATTATACATTACATTATAATAATTACTCTTATACCATAATGTAGCAAAATTATTTGACTACCATTATCAAATAGTTCTGATGTACAATCCGCATGGAATCAAATTAGAACCAGTTCACATTTTTACCATATATTTATGAAATAGATAATTTCCAATTCTCTTCAGATAATTCAAATAATACTGGTCAATTCAATATATTATATATGCAGAAATGAGAATACATTGTTCTTTATGTTCTAAGCCAAAAGTTACTACTGCCAAAACATAACTAAGATAATATTGTACTACTTGGAAAGATGACAAATCAAAACAAATAGCTAAATGAATTACTATGGAATTCGCTTTAAATATAGCAAATATTTAATATTATTCATATTGTAATAATATCAAATATTTAATTGCAAAAACCGAAACCGACAGTTTGGTGCACAATGAAGAAAATTTAATTTCATTAAATTATTAATAGCACATAAATAAAAATTGAAATAAGCCAACATTTCTTATTATACTTCCGCAAAAGAATATAATATAGAAGAATTTTCCAAATTCAAGTGTATATGTCTGGTTTTGTTGAAAATGTCTCTACATTGGGGTGGATGTATCTTTCGTCGACGTCAGAGCTCTGGGTTAAAAATAAACATTTATTCTACGCCCTCGTTCTAACATTTTTTAAACACAAGGGACTGCATTTACATTTGCTCCGTGTAAAATAATTACATTTCTCATTTTTTTTGGTGCCTTTATAAAATTATGAAGCTGCTATAACAGAATTATTTCAATATTAGTATTGTCTTTGAAGATTAACAAAAGCTTAAATCTCAAATTGAAAAATATGTATGTCATGGTTTGGATGATTAATAAAACATCATAAGCAAACAATTGATGATAAAAATTAACATCTTTTAAGTTTTTTTATGAGCACGTAATGAAACTAAGTGGCCAAGTATATATATGTATAATACAACCATATGGTCTCGTAACCTTCGACTTTATTCGAATTATTTCAGAACATATTGAGTTGTAAAAGAATTTTGCCATTTGCTCATAATTGATATCACATTGATGCTATTTAATTTAATTTAGTAATTATATTTTATATTATTTAATTTTTTTATACATAAATTAGTTATTCTTATTTAATATTAAGTTAATGATTAATTTACTATATTTATTTATTACATAGTTTGTTGTTTTCCAGGCCAAATATATATTATTCTTCTTCATACATTATGAAAGTTAAAATTTGGATTTTTCTCTATTAAACTTGAAATCATCTTATCTATTTCACAGGTTTAAGGATTTAGTATTACAGAAACAAATAAGGGTGAACTTATATGAAAAAAGTTGTTAAATACTACGAAGTTATAAATAGACTAAGAAAAAAAACAGAATGAACGGTTCTAAAAAATCATCATATTGGTATTTATGCTCGGTGCCCCTTCAATTTAATATTTAATGGATTAAAGACTGATTAAATTTAAATAATTTAAGTTTCAAATATTTGAAAAAAAAAAGAAAATAAGATTTTTGAAATAAACTATACTTTGTTATGTGTACAGTATAAACTAAAAGACAACCAATTCTAATAAGTGTTTTTCTTGTGATTAATCTCAAAAAAGTATCAAACTATATTAGAATTTTATATTTGAATCTTATGTAGAATTTGAATTAACATTAAAACAAATTCAAGGACGACTAAAATTAGAAAAATGTAAAGCATGAAAATATGATAAACAGAATACACCTAAGTCTGTTTTTACACGGTAGATTGGTTCCAGAAGAAGCCGTGTAAAAAAAAAACCGTGTAAAAAAGACATTGATCTTATACAAAAATGGGTGATTTGTTCCTAATCTCTAAAACCTATTAAAATTAGTGAAAAACAAGAATTTTTAGGGTATTCCCCTAAATTAGTGCTATTCACATTTGCTTTGACCAGTAAAAATTGTTTGTACGCGCTAAAGGGGAATTCACTTAAATCTTTAAGCTAGTGTTCGCAAACTATCGATACTATCGATGGTTTCAGAGTTTTTTCTTTCATAAATACTTTTTTGTGATATGAACATACTTATTACTGTAATTGAAAAATTAAATTTGACAAAAAAATTTAAGTACATAAAATTTCAAATCGTGCTAAATGGAATAAAATCGTGTAAAAAAATTAAAAATACTCAACCGTGTTATATCAAAACCGTGTACAAAAAGACCGTGTAAAAACAGACTTAGGTGTATTACAAAAAAAAACAACACATGATTTTGGAACTTTTTGGTTAGCAAAGTGTACTTGGAAAACCAGCTCACCAGCCTAGAACGAAACTTCATCTAGATATCTTATTTTTTTATTTATTATTATTATTTTCCTTTAGTTTTTATTGTATTTGTCTTATTGTTAGTATTTATTTTATTCCTAGTCAATATAGTATGTAATCTACCAACTATTTTATAGTCAATATTATATTCTTCAAGTATTTTTTTTAGCAGTCCCTGCTTATTGTTTCAATAAAATTATATTTAAAAAAAATTAAACTTTCAATAAACAAAATTTTCAAAATCAATGAAAATATAATGGCAAACCATAATCAAAAAGTGTTAGTGGCAAAGGAGAAAGAAATATATGAAAACTGATTAATGATTTTAATTCAAAAATAATAAATGAATCATCTAATTTAATTTAAGAGTTCGATCATATGGGGGAAACCAGAAATCACAAAATATCACGTGTATTTATTTTTCACCTCAATTAAAAAAAGTCCACAAATTTTCAAAAAAAAAAAATGCAAAATTTACCGATTTTTTTCTAGGTACTAAAAATGCTCGTGATGTTTGGTGGGTGAGGGGGGATAATTTTAAATATCACCAAGTATCACCAAGGGGGGTGTCAAAAAATTCTTAGAAATCGCTCATGTTGGACGCCCCCTAATCATGAAAATTTTAGACTATTGAACTTCGGAATATATTCAATACAAAGTTGAAAAGACCATGTGTATTATAAAAAAATATCTTCGTTTTATACATTTAACTATATCGGACCGAAATATTAAAGATTATGAATGGTGTTTTCCACTTCATTGCCTTGAACATACTTGATTAAAAGTGCAACAATAGCCTCTTTTATTACCGCAAGAAGGTTATCCTGGTCGGGACGCCGCCGGAAAACTCGATAATTGAAGCTATTTATATTGATGGCACACGCTAAACTCTAACATTGTCGAGGAAAATCAATGGTGGCCACGCCCCTTTCGTCAATAACGACACAACAGGTTACTGGTGACGACATTCCACAGTGCGATGTACATTCTACATACAATATACACATGGCCAAAGTGTATTTATTTAAGTAACATATACCAGAGATTCGATACGATTTAAATCCACGCAGAAATCAATACGACTGTCCGAATGTTAGGCGCCCCCTAGTATCTAAATTGTTGTGTGGGGACACAACATTCGTATTGATGAAACGGCTCACTTCATTGTTCAGAGGTTCAGAGCTTCTCCTCGTGCACGAACATGGATCATGTCAGTTAATATGATTAATTGCATTTAAAAATAATAATTAATGCAGTACTAATCGATAAAAAACTGATTTAAAATTCTTTGGTATTTATCGAGCTGTCAAATTGCGTGGGTGCATGGTAAACACCGCAATGGACTATGATTGAAATTAATAATTGATTTAAGATACATATTATTTACCAATGCATTATTCATTTAATTTGCAAAGTACACATATTTTATTCTTTAATATGAATGACAGTAATGAGCATGACACGTCAAAACGTTTGTTGAACAATTAACTCATTATTATTAAGGTTTTCCCCAATTTGTTATTTAAATTTGACATATTGTTGGCAACCCCGCAAGTACTTTGGCAACGTGCAGGGTGGGGCAAAACGTCAAACGTCATTTCAATATGTCCGACATGTAAATAGCATGAGAAAATTCTTAAAATAACTTTCAATAAAAACAATTGCAAATCAATTAAAAATCCAAACTCACCATCATTTTGTAGCTGTATTTTCTAGTTGCGGCAGTTTCCATACGAACTGCCATAACACAAAAACAATTTCTAGATTTGTTATCTAATTTATTGTATTAGTTTTCAAGTTCAGTCGTTTGTTGACAACATTGATGAAAGTCACTAATTTTAAAACTAGTTTGGCACTTGCACATATTATGATTAAAATGTTCTATTTTATAAAATCTAACTCACATCACAGTTACGCCGGACTATGTACTCGCTATAAACTAAGTTTATAAGATTAATCATAAGGAAAAGTCTATAAAATATCGAGCCGAAACAATAATTTGCCACACCTCTTCGCTTCTGCCACCATTTTGCATTCGAACTACACGATGACAGAAGTCAGATGAGCCACGGCACCGATACACCGATACACTGACATGCACGCACACATGCCAACGTCGCGGACTTAATTGGTTTTGTGTGGGTGAGACTCGTGTGAGGCTGTGCAAGCCGGCCGGTGAATTGTCGGGAAGTGCTGCCATCGGCACACCAACTGCTTCGGGCAGGGTTGGCCGATAGATTTGTTATTGACATTTGACAAAACTCATTTAAAAAGAAACTAACAATAAGTGACAACTTTATAAAATTTCAAGATAATTTATTAAGCAAATGATGTCATTATAATAGCAACAATTTTTAATTTTTCAACTTTGATTTTTGTCATGAATAACAGTTTTGACACATCAGGACTTTCTCTATGAGTCGCATAAATTATTGTACTGACGTTTACAAACTATATGACATCGTTTAGAAACCTAGACAATATTAGAATATGATGTATTATGTTTCCATGGATAAAAGAAGAGTGAGTATTGACGTTTCTCTCTTCTGATTTTTATGTTCAGAAAGGATACTTAAAGGGTCCTCCACTCAGGCGTGAGGGCGCTGCTTTGGCATTCAAATTAATGGCGCAAAATTTGAAATAAAAATTAATGAAATTTAGTAATCGGATATTTGAAACTAAATTTTGTATTACCATCATATTATGTTTTGTAATAATACAATAACAACAACAATATACTAGAAAACATTACATTATAATAAATATGCAATCAAATCAATACATGAATCAACAAATACACTGCCGGTTTAAATATACATCACATCTAATCTACTGGAATAACTTCTACACTTTTTCTACTTATTAATATAAATATTTAGTGAAATTTAGTGAATAATGCGTTATAGTGTTAGTTCATTACATCGTCTGTCATTCTTAACTCTCATTGACTAATAATCATTCCGTGCAAAATTTGATATTCTTAAGCAATTCATTTTCTTTCAAGTATATTCAGATCCGTGTAAAGTGGTAATCCAATTTTAAACAGCTGGAAGATTTCTAAATATTTTTTTTTGTAGAAGCTTTTACTTGATTTCTTACATAATTTGGTAGAACTGGCTTCTTTCTTTAAAGTTTAATATGATTAGACTAATCTGTCAATGCACTCCGTAGTAATTATGTCCTGTATCTGAGTTTAAAGCTGTTTTATTTATTTTATCAAAGGGCTATGCATTTGAGAGCATTTCATAATAAATTTTTTATTAACAAATGTACAAACACAAACGAACAAGATTCACCATTTTGCCAATTGATACAATTGACGTTTCTTAGTAACCAACATAAAACATTTGATAATGCTTTCTCATCGGCTCACTAGCATCAAATTTGTGACCCTTTTGTGACTATCATAGGACATAAGACCCCTAAGTAGCCCTTCTGAACGCAAATTTAGTTCTGCTATATAAATTTTCAAATATGAGAAATTATGACATCAGGCTTTTTAAGTCGAGTATCAAACCTGAAACTTCTGATTGAAAGCCTATAACTCTAACCACTAATCCACTGGAAAACCCATTATTTTATTAAATCCCATTATTCAAATTAAAAGATTAATATTGAATGTTTTGATGATTATCTAATATTTATATAAAAAGCAAGTTAATTGTAGTTAACATAATTCTGTAAAAAGAAAAATGCCACTTAAATGTTAATATGTATGTAAAAATTAAAATAAGAAAAACATGCGAAGTAGCTGAAAGCTAAAAATCAAAAAAGCATAAATGCACAGTATACACTCACACATTTGTTTATTTATTACAAAAAGCATAAATTTCAAACATATATTTTCAATATTTGCCATTTATTTATGCGAAATTCTTTTTTGGTATCTTTCCCAGCCCTGAAGCGCGGTATCGCCCGATAATTTGCGAGAGTCTCCGATGATTTTCGAATGCACCCGACTGCCACCGAGTACATTCAACCATTCGAATTAAATGCACAGCTTTTAAAGAGCACGCTGCGTGCCGGCTGTCTGTTGTTTGTGTTTTGATTCAGCCCGGCTGTCAAATGTCATCTGTCATTTGCGGCATTTGCGTAACCAGAGTTGAATATTACTAGCGCAAACTTAGCGTGTTTGATAACGATATCAGCAATTGCAGATGGCTGCATGTGATATCGTGCTAAAACGCCCTTGTTTTTTAATTGGTAATAATTCACCTGTCTGTAATGTGATCATGGCCAGAATCTTAAGATGTTTAAAAACACACATCCTATATCCACTAAAAATGCTCGATAATTTAAGTCGATATACTCGTTTAAATTAAAATTTAAATATAACAAAAATTCAAATCAGGTTTATTAAAATGTTTTTGTAAAATAGTTGAATGCATTGAACACATGCAGCAGGTACCCACGTTGAATACGTTGAATTGTTGATTGGTCACGAGTTAACTCGTGATTCGATGGCCGAAAGTTGTGACCAAATCACGAATAATATGGGATGTACTTTTTATTTTTGCCTCGCTGTTTTCTCTGTTGACAACCAAATAGTGCAATTGTTAGTCATCATAACACAAACTGCTCTCTTTCTTTTACCCCCACAAATTTTTTAATGTAAAAAATAATTGATAATTAAAAAAATTAAACTAGTAGGGTGCCTTATGGCATCCTGCCTTAAGGCAAATTTCTGAAACTTCCCGTACCATAATTAAAAATCTTGATACGGAACCCCAAAAAATTTACACAAAATGTGTACACATTATTAAAATCTCTATAAAATATCTGATAATTTGATGAACATATGTCCAATAAACATTTTTGACCGCCAAATGACATTTTTTCAGCTTATTTTTATTGAGAGTCCATAACCTTTGGACCTGCCTTCCCAAAAATTTAATCAGTTCTTCATCTCATCAATACAAGTAAAATGTTTTTTGAATTATTAAAATCGGACGCTCCGTTCTCTTAAAAACTGAGATACCGTTTTTGGCACTTTTTGCCCCGTATTTTCGCAACGGTTATACCCGCCTTCGCCAAAAACTTATCAGCACGTCTTCTCATGTCTTCGAATGTTTTTTGAATTATTCGTATTGGTTGATCGGTATTTCCGGAATCGTCGACGAAAATTTGTATCCGCACACACATACATCTTCATCTTCTCATTCATACATCTTCTTGGTCAGTGGCATCATATATATCAAGACTATTATTATAACAGCGTTTATACAGCTAAACTATTACTCAGAAAAAAAAACACTACTGTATGGTAGCATTCGAGAAATCTAATGCTTACAAAATATCCTGATAGAAAAATCCAAAAGTCTGCACAGAGAAGGGATTTTTTACGAAAGGATAAAAAAGTAGTATGGATATCAATTATTCATGATGCTTCTATGAAATCAAATTAATAATTATATAGACAATACAATCAAATCTACTTGTATATTGCAATAATACATGAAAAGGGTAGGTCGTGCAGATCTTCAGTACTTGAGGAATAGCAATATTTTACGAAGAACTGTAAAGTGGCACAAAAAATTAGCATTTTTTCTGATAAACTGCACCTTATTTAATGCTTATGAACTATACTGTACATATCTACCAGAAAACGAAACAAGATACACATTTTTTTTACTGGAAGTAGCTAAAGAATGGATAAGTGTGGATTTAATGGAATGTAGCATTGCTCCTGACGCTTCTCGAATATCTAAAACAGCTCCTTATAAAGACACACCTCTCAGACTTTGCGGACAGGTTAGAAACCATGTCTTAGAAAAAAATAGTCACTGCCATAAAAGCAAATCCAACTAGAGCATGTAGAGTATGCTCTTCAAAGGGAAAACGAAGCGAAACTAATAGATATATTTGCAAATTTTTGTGCCATTGCACGTAGGTGATTGCTATACTACTTATCACACAAAAAAGAAATATTCAAAGTTGAATATAAAATAAAATTTCTAAAAGTTTATTTTTATTGTTTTACTTCCACATCCAATTACGAAATAACAATCGGTGACATAAAATAAACTTTCAGTAAAATTGCCGGTCAACAATTTAAGACTTAACAAAATTTTCTCCGAATATGCTTTTTCTTCTCCATGCACATACATATATATGTGTTTATATTCATAAGTGTAAAAAGTATTTAATTGTTTTATGAGTCATTAATAATTATTCAAGTATATAACTTTACAAAATTAAAATATAATAAAATTGAATTACTTTACAACAAATAAGCCAATAAACAAAAATCTAACGATACAAATTCAGTATTTACATTTTCCAGCTATTTCAATATCTAACAAACAACATAAATATTTTCATAAACTTTATACAAATTTAGTTTAATTTCAAAATTAGTGTAGTTTAACTACATATCCCATTTTGATGCTTTTCTAAAGCAGTATAAATAAATTATATATTCAATTAAGAGTTGAAATACTGATTCTTAATGTTACAACTGCAGTTCTTGAAAATCTGTTATATAGTACTGTGCTTTTGATTTGACTTCTTCTCGAACAATATTTCCGCCAAAACCTAAAAAAATATTTATAATTAAATCATTACATATATTTTATATAGCTAATATATATTATGCCGATTGATTATACTTTGGGAATTAAAAGAATTTAATTTATAAAATTAATGATCCTAGTGTTTTATGTATAAATTAGATATAGATCGTTATTGAATTTGTAGCTGTTAGTTTTCAAACACTTTGGTTGTTTGGATATTGGGACCGATATATTCTAAATGATTTGTGAATAACTTGAATCAACCAAATTGTTCTAGCAGAAATCGTAGTAAATAATCCATCCAATTTCAATGAATTAATTATTACAAATTCTGTAATTCTGATTATTTTTTTATTGATACGTACAAAACCTGGAAAAAGCTATTTTTACATGGATACATATTGCTATCCATATTTCCAAGTAAAAACCGATGTCACTACTGCTTGACATCAAGCTGGCCGAGGTTGGAATCAAACCCGGAATTAGTGAATTGATCATAAAGATCAAAAACAAATTCAAGATGCTATTCTTGATTACTTACCTATGAAAGTATCAGCCTGTGCTTCTAAATCTGTAGCACCGTCACCAATCATTGCAATGTGTCTGTAACCCTTTTGCTGCCGCAGCAACGCTAGAACTTGCCCCTTGCCGCCA